AAAAAAAAAAAAAAAAAGAAAAACCCTAGGTCTTGTTTGGATTCACGAAATTCTCAAGGATTAGGAGCAACCTTAAAACCCCAAATATCGAAATCCCAGAGCACATCGCCATACAAGACGTCGTAAACATCCGTCTCCCAAAAAGGGATCCAACTGCTGGCCCACAACATCTCCTCATCAAGCCCACTCCACAAGCTGGCCCACTCCGCCGCTGCCTCCGTCGCCGCCTTCTTCTCCGCCGCTGCCTTCTCGGCCTCCGGCGCCGCCAGTTTGGCCTTCTTGCTTCCATCCTCCGCCGTCGCCTCTTTTCTTGAGCTGCCTCTTGCCCTCTTCATAATTTTCACCGTTTCAATTATTATATTATAATATAAAATTCTAAAATGTTTGATCCCTTTTAGTTAGTAATAATATAGAAGCGGTGGTTTTATTTTGGGAACTTGGTCTGCATGGTGACATAGGGCATTTAAGTAGGGCTTTAGATTGCCACGTGGATTTTGGGTTCGTCATATTTCGTTCATGCTAATAAATATGAGAGCAAACTTCACAAGGAGGAAAACAATTTACAGACAAAGAAAAATACACCGATTGATAAGGGTGAGCATAACCGAGTCGAAATGAAAAACCGCATCGAACCGAGCTATTCGGTTCGGTTTTGGTAAGTTCAGCTATCGGTGCGGTTTGAGTTTTGAAAAACTGCAAGTATTTCGGTGCGGTTCGGTTTTCTGTCCGAAGGGTGCGGTTTTAACCGAACTGCACCGAATGTCATAAAATGTCATTTTTTTTATTTTTTTAATAAAAGATTACCTTAATTTTTGTAATTTTACTTACATAACATTAATTGGTGGTTATATTTTTTAATTCGGTTAACCGAAAAACCGAACCACACCAAACCGAAAATTTTCGGTTCGGCGTGGTTCGGTTTTTCCTTCTATAGCGGTGCGGTTCGGTGAAAAAAAGTTTCAAAATTTGGTTTTCGGTTTTTTCAGTGCGGTGCGATTTTTGACCGAACCGCAGCGATGCTCACCCCTACCGATTTATATATGAGGAAAAAACACCACTCGAACCGTACAAGTTCAACAAAATACAATCACATATCGGGAATGTACACATATATATAATAAAGAGAAATGCTAAGATCCAGTTACAGAATCATTCCGTCGGATTTTGTAATCGTTAGATTATCATGTAATCGTCAGAGATAGTTGATCTAACGATTACAAACTCTGACGGAATGATTCCGGACCGTAGTATCTTCCTATATTAAATAAAATACCTTTATTTAGTAAAAGATGATAACTTTTTTGTTTTAAAAAAAAAATATTGAGTTTGCTTGGAAAATTTCAATGCTAGTTCCAAATTTTAGAATGTGCTAAAAGTACGGAGTTTTTTGAAATCCATTGAATTAGCAAACTTCTGTAATTTTAAAAACAATCAATTGGAATACCAATTATTTTGACTATAAATTCAAATTCCGATTGAAAATTGACACATTGTATGCATTGTATATAGTTGTGATGGCCTTGAATTATTATGGTAGCTCAAGTTCGACGGGACTTGTTTGATAAACAAGTTGAATTTGAGTTCATCTAGTTAATTGGTTGAGCTTGACTCACTTTGTCAAGGCATGTAGAACTTGAGAAATGTGAATTTTATATAAGCTTCTAAACTATTAATTTTGTTCAGCTATCGAGCTATTAAATTTCGAGTTCGACTCATTAAATTTGAAAACGAGCAAAGCTCGATCTAGTCTATCGGCTCAATTAGCTAAGGAGTTTGAGTTCAACTCGATTCATGTACTACTCTACTTAATATAAGCCACTGAATTTCATTAAATGTTTGATAATTTGGCCAAGATTGACTCTAGATTAGTCAGTTTTAAAGGTTACGCTGACTAATTTTGTTAACCAAGCTTTTTTTTTTCTTAGAACGACATACTTCATTAATAAAAACGTATTTACAAACGGCTAACTAGCCGACTGAAGCATCCAGAAGCTAAATTCATAGGGAGACGTGTTCGTTCTATTTTTTGTCGTGTTTTCCTTGTCTATTTTACATTTATTTTTCCCCATTTTAGGTTATTTTCTTTGATTCTTGGTCCAATTTGTGTCGTGTCGTGTGTTTTCTTTATTTCGCTCGTTTTTGGTTTTTCTTGTTTGTTTTTCCCAGTTTTCTGCGTTTTTTTCTTGGTGATGGCAATATGCAGGTTAGGTGGTTCGGTGAGCAGCCATGAGGTGATCGTTGTCTAAGAGTTGGGATCGAGTTGCGATGGAGAAGGCGGAGCTAAAATTCGAGTCCGGATGCGTGGATACGAGCCAGAAAGTGCAGTCTTGTCATACAAATCCTTCACCGCGGCCCGCGACTGTGTTCCCGTGGTCGCGGTGACAAAAAATGTGTCAAACGCCAGTTTTCTTCACCACGGCCGCGGAGGAGAAAGTCGCGGCCGCGAGGAGCGCGAGGTCAGGAACCCGCCGGACAGAGAATAAAAGTCGCGGCCGCGGGATAAGTCGCGGCTGCAAAGCTGTTCTTCACCGCGGTCCGCGAGATTCTCCGTGGTCGCGGGAAGCGCGATTTTTCAGAATTAAAATAGCAGATTTCTTTTGAGAACGAAAATGTTTTTTGGAAGCTAGGTTTTTATTCTTTCTCGTACTTAGAGCTCCAGAACTCAGATTTTCCCCTAGTTTTCGGAGGAATTCATCATTGAGAGTGAAAAAATCCAAGATTGTTATTCCCGGATTTGTTTGCTTTTGGTTTTTGACGTTGAACCTCGTATTAATAGTAAGCTTTTATTCTCGTTTACTCATGAATTTGATGGCTTTGTTTAATATGATTTTTTATGTTGAATTCATTATGAGTAGCTAAATCCTTTAGCTAGGGTTAGGGGAAGATCGTTCTGGTTCGATTTCGTTTATATGCATGATAATTGCTCAATCCTCTTGAGTTGTGCTTAGCCTAGGGTTTTGATGTTTGATCACCATCTTTATCTAATTAATCGATTTTTAGAACTGAAAAGGGAGAAATCATTCGATCTAGGCTCGTTAGGAATAAGTTTGTTCGTAATAGTATTGCTTATGTGTTGATTGTTTCAAGAATTGCTCGTTTATGTCTATCCTCTTGTTACGAAGAGTTATTGAGGATAGACCTCTAGATGAGTAGTTTAGCAAGACATTTAACCGAGCTCTTGATTGCTCGTTAAGTGTATTGAGAACTGGTATTGATTGACCCCGATACCCTAGCCCCTTTATCATTATTTGAGTTTTAACTTTGAATCGCGAGTTTTGAAATAGATAGTCTTGTTCTTATTATTCGTAGTTGATAAAATCAAACTGAACCAATCGATTTAGAGTGTTTAGGTCTTCTTTTATCTTTTCGTGTGATTGAATATACGTGCAAAATAATCCGGCTAACCTTCCTTGTGAGACGACCCGGTGTCAAATCTTTCGATTCTACTCCGGTAAAAATATTTACAACAAATTGGCGCCGTTGCCGGGGAAGGTTTAGGACTTACTTTGTGCGCCTATTCATCTTGTTTTCAGTGTTTCTCTTATTTCTTGTGATTTTTCTTGTTTCCGTGTTTCTCTTGTTTTCTTTTTATTTGTTAGGTGTTAGTTCTTGTTTTACTTTGTTTTTATTTTGTTTTTATCATTAGTGCTCGTAACCCTTGTTGGTCTTAGTGTATGCGTACCAGGAGTGGACGCAAATTGCTATCTCCGATCAACAAATCAGTCAACGAGAGCCTGAGGGAGCTGCTAGAAGAGCTTACTCTCGAATCTAACGAAGGAGACGAGCACTCCCCGAAATCGTCAGAAGGAAGTAACGTCGACATGGGTGAACAACAGCAACAACCGCCTCGTAACACCCTCCGAACCTTAGCCCAGCCAGTTATCGGGCCAGTCACTTCGTGCATCCGTTTGCCAGATCCCGTACGGAATTATGAGCTAAAAATGATTCACTACAACCAGCTGCCGGCATTCCATGGGCTCCCGAGCGAAGACCCGCTTAACTTCAGCCAGGAATTCTACAATGTCCTCAACACCTTCCCTTTGAACGGGCGGAATGAGGATCAGTTGAAGATGAGGTGCTTCCCCGAGACATTGAAAGACGGGCCAAGGCCTGGTTCATGACACTTGCACCGGCATCTCTGACTACCTAGACCGAAGTTTACACGAAGTTCATTGGGAGGTACTACTCCCATCAGAAAAATCAGGAGCTCCGGTCACAGATCGTCTCGTTTGCCCAACTACCGAGTGAGCCTCTTCACGAGGCCTGGGAGCGATTCAAGGATCTCCAGCGGCAGTGCCCTCACCACAATCTTTCGCCAGGACTTTTGATGAATTGTTTCTATGACTCCCTCAATTAGAATCTGCAATATATGGTTGATAATGTTGTGGGGGGAGACATCGGTG